ATCCTGGATCTACAAGGAACTCAAACGTGCTGAAAAGAAAAAAACAGACAACCCCATTATGAAATGGGCAAAAGATATGAACAGACACTTCACAAAGGAAGACATTCGAGTAGCCAACAGACACATGAAGAAATGTTCAGCCTCACTAATCATCAGGGGGATGCAAATCAAAACCACACTGAGACACCACCTAACCCCAGTCAGAATGGCAATCATCAACAACTCAAAAAATAACAGCTGCTGGAGAGGGTGTGGAGAAAAGGGAACACTTCTACACTGTTGGTGGGAGTGTAAACTAGTACAACCTCTGGAAAGCAGTGTGGCGATTCCTAAAAGCCCTAAACATCAACCTCCCATATGACCCTGCAATCCCCCTACTGGGAATATACACTGAAGAACTAAATCACTCTACAAAAAAAGATACCTGCACACGTATGTTTATCGCAGCATTGTTCACAATAGCAAGAACCTGGAAGCAACTATGCTTCCCATCAAAAGAGGACTGCATTAAAAAAATGTGGTACATATACACGATGGAACGCAGCCATAAAAAAGAACAAAATCATGAATTTCGCAGCAACCTGGATGGAACTAGAGTCTATAATACTGAGTGACCTCTCACAGAAACAAAGATCCGAGTATCACATGTTCTCACTATAATGGACCTTGAACATCCAATGTAATACTATAAGAAAATGACTGGTGGTACTTGGAAACTATGGTGGGGGGGAGATGGGATTAACAGTAGCAAATATCTGTCTGGGGACGAGGAAACACCTCTTATCAACAGGGTACCTGAATGAAACGTAATTGTATACCTAACCCTTAACTGTACCCCACAACATCATAATAAAAAATATTTTAAAAAATGAATAAAATGAATTGGCTGAATGGAGGAGAATGAGAATGCAGAAGAGTGGTCAGAAAGAGAGATGATCTGGCATTTTGAGTTCCAAAGGCCAAGGGAAAAGAAGGAACATGAAGTCAGCAAAATGAGATACTATTAAGAGGTCAAGTAAGATAACTGCTAAATCTTGCTAGCAATACAGACATCATTGGTGATCTTAGAGCTACCTATTTTTACAGTGATGGGGCAAAAGCAAGATACATGTGCTTTGAAAACTAAGTGAGAATTGAGGAAATAAATGGGCATAATCACTCTTAGAACAAGTCTGAAATGAGAAAACAGAAGGCAAAGATAGCAGTTGGAGAAAAATACAGAGACTAAAAAAGAGTTACATGGAGTGGGTAGAGAGGTAGAGATTGTTTTTTAGGAGTCAAATCTTAATTAAATCTATTTAAAAAGTGAGCACAAGGACTCAGTTGAGAAGAAAAGGTAAACATAATATACTAATAATGTAATTTCTGGGAAAGTAAGAGATGACAGAATTCTTAAAAAGCAGGCACAAGAAGGAAAGAGAATGGGTACAAATGTGGGTGAGTTTGAATGTCCGGTCTTATACAGTAAGGGAATTGTCACATAATGCTTCTAATTTTTTCTGAGATGTAGAAGCCCATCTACAGACTATGATGAGACAGATAAGATGACCAGAGATTTGAGAGAAATGGAGAATATCTGAAAAGCTGTGCAAAAAGTAAGAGCAAGTATAGACCAGAAGAATCCTACACATCACAAATTCCTAGAGAGTCTTGATAAATCAAACCAGTTGTGAGAATACATGATATATGTGGTCTAGTAAGGATGAGAAAAAAACCAAACCAGCAACCACTGTTGTCAATGCAAACAATTACCAAAATCATATTAGAAACTTGAATTTGAAAACAAAATTGAAATGTGAAGCAAAAGGAACCATAATGAAGCCAGTAAAAGACAAGAGTATATCAAGACAAGAAAAGTCAAAGGACCCAGGAAGACATTTATAAATCCAGAAATCAGCAAGACAAAAACAGTACAGCTAATCTCAGAGTGATTTTTATCTAGTTTCTATTTTCTAGTCAGTTTGTTTACTTTCTTCTAACACAGTAGAGCCTGTTTCTAGGTAATAGTGATCTGCCGCTTTCTTAACAGAGGAATGGGTATTGTGAAAATGGATAGAGGGAAATAAAGAAAGCGTTTAATAAAGAATCTTTGGAAAATAGTTGAAACTGTTAAAACACTGAGACATATGATCAGGTCGCTATATTTACAAAAATACAGAATCATTTTTCCCAACAAAACTGCATTTTAAAATTCATAAAATCATTTTTCTAGAGTCCTAGAAATTAACTCAACTATACAAAGTTTTATACTTAAAATGAAAACTTCAGTTTCTAAAAATGTTGTATGTCAATAATACCAGGTAACTGAAATATTTCTGTAAAATTATATCAATTAAATTTTCTTCCTTCAAATTGATTTTCTTCTACTCACTCAGACTTCTTTTCACAGGCCTTAGAAGATTCTTCAATTCTCTTCTCTAACTCCAGGACAGCCTCTTCCTTTTTTAAAAGCATCTGCTGTGTCTGCACAAGTTCTTCTGCTAAAGTTTTCAACCTAGAATACATAGTTTCCTCAATATCAACGAACATATTAATTACAGTTACTTTCCAGATACCAAAAAAGCATCTAAGGTTACAATGGCCAAAACAGTAGCCACGTATAATTTTATTTAAAGTAAAGTAAAATTTCAGTTCCTTGATTGCATTAGCCACATTTAAAGGGCTAAACAGAAATGTGGCTAGTGGTTACATTATTGGACAGCAAGAAAAAAAAGGAATATTTCAATAATCACAGAAGGTACTCTCAGACAATGCTGGTCCAAGTGAGTCTCATTTCAAATAGGAAAAACAAATGGAAAGCAAGAAAAGAAAAGAGGAGAGAACTAAAGTAGATAAATATCTGTCATGACCCAGGAAAATGTACAGTAAAAAGACTATGCTTTTTGTTTTCCAACAAATAAGTACTCACATTCTGGCTTTGACACTTATTATCTGAGACCCTCGGCAAATTCTTATGCTCACTGAATGTATTTTCTCATTTTAATTTCAGTACAGTAACAGCTGCCTCACAGGCATTGTTTTGAGGACCAAATGAACTAATGTATATATGATGACTAGCACTTATGAGGCATTAAGTAAATGGTAACACATTCTTTGCATATGTTATCTCATTTAATCTTCACAATAATCTTATGAAATAGGACACTATTATACTTATTTTATAGAAAAGAATATGGGGCTCAGTTGTATGGAAGTTTGAATTGATGGTAAGCTATTTCTATTTTCACACATTGTAATAATGCTTTAGTGGTATTTTCTATATAGATTTGAAGATGATTTAATACACAAATTAATATGCACTCACAGACCAAATAATTTATGGTTACATAAAATACACTCAGTCCTTTAAGGAAATATTTATACCACAAAAACACACATGGCTATCATAGCACATTAAAATTCATATCTTCAGCTTTTCAAAGCACATCATGAAACCCAAAAGATACAAAAGAAAATATTAAGTAATCTAGCTATAAAAATGTAAATTTATTTGAAAATAAAGAAATTATTTAAAAAGCCAAAAGCAAAAGTGAAACTATGATGCAATCTTTTCATTGCAAATCACTAGCAAAAGTCCTCCCAATGCAAAAAAACACTTAGAACAAAGACAAACTGATATGAAAATGGACAATGAACAGAACTGGAAGTTCATCATGAAAAAATTAAATGATCAATAAACATATGGCATTATTTACAACTTGTTTAAATGTAAATAAGTTATTTTTCACCTACTAAAACTGACAAGTATGAAAACTTATTATATCCAGTATTTACAATAATGTAAAACAATAGAAACACTTTGTTGATGAGACAAAATCTGCACAAACTTTTCAGCAGTACTGTCTCTTGAAACTATCTCTCAAGTTTTAAATTAAAATATCCTCATTCAAATGTGAGTACACTTTTGAAGTCTAAAAACAAATATAAATACTTTTGAATTGACCAACACAGAGTTGACCAACCTTTCCAAACCTCAAAGCAACTGATGATGCTGTTGAAATTGTGTCCCTCTTCTAAATATTTTGAATCCCAGATTGTGTTTTCGAAATTCAATAACTTAAATGACAGCCAAATGAATTTGAAAATACCTCTAATAGTCTAATAGTTGCATGGTGAAAAATAGGAGTTAATGTTTCTTATTCAAGAAGGGGAACCAAAACAATTTCTTTTGGCAGATTTTGCATTAGTTCATCAACTGGAGAACCTGATGCCAAAGAAGTATGCAAATATATGTTTGATTAAATAAGATGAAAACGTAAAAAAAAAAAGTTAACAAATTTGTTTCTAACCTTATTTTTAAAAGAGTATTCTTTGACCATATAAAAATGTGTGTTTCCAAAACTTGTAACATTGCTTATAAAGCAAAAAACTAGAAAACATTTAAATGGTCATCGACAGAGTAATAGTTGAACAGATTTTAATTTATTTATGACATAGTCATAGCCACTAAAAAAAAATGAGATACATACATATAAATTTCTTCCAAGACATAATTTTAAATTAAAAGGCAAGATACAGAAGAAAATATACAGCATTGTTCCAATTTTATTAAAATACAAGTGCATATGTGTCATTAACTTAATTGTGTCCCTCTAAATTCATCTCTTGTGGCCCTAACCCCCAATATATTTGGAGATGAAATCTCCGGGAGGTAAATAGAATTAGATGATCCCTCTTGATGGGATTAATGCCCTTCTAAGAAGAGAAACCAGAGAACTCATTCACACTCTCTTCTCTATCTCCTCACACACACAAAGGTCATCTGAGTACATAGCAAAAAGGCAGCTGTCTACAAGTCAGAAAAAGAACCTTCACCAGTAACCAAATCAATTGACACCTTTACCTTAGACTTCCCAGACTCCATTCTGAGAAATAAATTTCCGTGTTCAAGCTTCCATTCTGAGAAATAAATTTCTGTGTTCAAGCCACCCAGTCTACGGTAATTTGTAGTATGACAGTCCAAGTAGATTAATATAATATGTGTATATTTATGTGTATGTGTTTATATGTAAATACATAGAAGAACAAGATGACTACCACCCAAATTTTTATCAACACTCTGAGAGGTATAAGACTGGAGTAGAAGGTGATTTAAGACCAAAATATTCTTTCATAATTTACTCTATGTGCTTCTATATTGCTTGGATCTAATGTAACAGGAAAGGATTTAATTTTTTAGAATTATTAAATAATAGATAATACAGATAAAAGAGCAGAAAAGCTACTGGATATAATCAGAAGAATTCAAAATATAGGAATCCAGATTATTTCATTTTTTTTTAGAGTCAAACAATAAATTTCAATAAGTTTCTGAAGGCATTCTATATTAAAGCAAACAAAATCATTGATGCTTATAATAATGATCAAGAGTCATCAAGGAAAGGTCAAATCAAGATGAATATTTTTCCTTAAGAATTCACTTATATTTGTAAGAGAGATTCATCAAACCTAGCAATATTATGTTTTTTAATATAATGAAGATATCAACTTCATTTCTGGATAATTCACTTATATGGAATAGTTCATATTCTGACTATCAGATAAAGAAAGCATTACTGTAGTAAAATTAGAGATCATTCTTAAGAAAACTACATTTCAACCCCTGGCTTCAACCTTCTTATTAAATAATTATAAGTAAATAACATAACGATTGGCTGTTTATAAAACTGTGACCTACATATAATCTCATTTAATCCAAATAAAAGTCTAGAATACTTAGGGTCCTACCTAAGAACCCAACCCATCCCCCAATGCATTCTATCACACAATACTATGCTAGTCTGGAGATAACAGAACAAAGAAACAGCTTCTCACCACTATGGTGACCAAACTACATCAAAGCTGAATTTAATAAAAAATTCTTTCCCTCTCATTATCACTTTCCTCTCCTCTGTTCTACCCTTTGCTAACCCCTCTACATGTTTTTCTCATTCTCTTCCTCGTTAATTTTCCATTCTGTCCACACCATGCTGAGCGCTCAGCAGTTTTTGACCAAAATGGCATGACCTCTGTGCCCCACCCTCCCTACTCACTTGACCTCACCAAGACAGACTTTTTGTTGTTATTTTCCCAGATGAAAAAAGTTCTCAGAGGGAAACATTTTGGCAATGTGGAAGAGGTGAAACAAAGGCAACAAAAATTGATGAGCTCAAAAACTTCTGAGCAGTGGAAAAAAGCATATTATATTAACAGGTGTATTGCATTAAACAGAGAGTACTCTGAAGGTGACTGAAATTTAAAATGTGTAAAAATATGCAATTTTTTAATAAATAAACTCCGAGTTTTTTGGAGTACCCTTACACACACACACACACACACACACACACACACACTTAAAAAAGTGCACAAAGATGTAAATGCAATGATGCTTACTGAAACACTGCTTATAACCACAATAAAGGTGGACATATCTTGATGCCAATGATGCTAAATCTTCAGGCGCTTTACTTGCATGATCCCTTCCAATCTCTGTATTAATCCTGCATTTGTAAGTCTGTATAGTTTTTCTTAAAGATGCTATCTCCCCCCCAGTGTTAAAAGCCTCAGGTCCCACAAAACCTGAATCCACCACTGGCAACAGTAAGAAACTGGAAATAACCTAAATGTCAGCAGTTAACAGCTAAATTAAATAAATTGTCATATACAAGTAGGAAAACACTATACAACATTCAAAAGTTTTAACATATGTTAAGAGGATGATGCAAAAGAATAAGCATAGGATAGTTCCCATTTACATAAAGAAAACTTTTTTTTTTTTGGAGTTGAGATCTCACTCTGTTGTCCAGACTGGAGTGTAGTGGCATGATCACAGCTCACGGCAGCCTCAACCTCCTGGGGTCAGGTGATATTCCTGCTTCAGTCTCCTGAGTAACTGAAACTATAGGTGCATGACACCATGCCTGGCTAATTTTTCTATTTGTTGTAGAGACATGGTCTTGCTATGTTGCCTAGTCTGGTCTCAGGCTCCTGTGTTCAAGCAATCCTCTGGCACTGGCCTCCCAAAGGGCTGGGATTATAGGCATGAGCCACTGCTCCCAGTCAAGAAAACAATTCGCATGTTTATGTTTGGATATACACTTTGGGAAAATACATAAGTTGTTTTCATGTGTTAACCCTGGTAGGTAGTAATGGGGATCTACAAAAAGAAGGAAAATTTTTTTTTAATTTTCACCGTATACCCTTTTGTAAGATTTCACAGATTTTATCATCTGCGTGTATTTGACAGAAAACTTTTAAAGATTTAATTGTCTTGAAAGATACAAAAACCTAGAGCACTTATTATGGATAAAAAAGTTTTAATATTTATACAAAATGTTTTATAACCTCAAACAATTGGCTATCATTACAGAAATCTTACAGCACTCTTAAAGAGACCCAACTTCCAAAAAAATTATGACTTGACAAAGAAATCACCTTAACTTTTATTTCTTACATGAAATTTCCAACACTGTCATTTTAATTACAACAGTTGGGTTAATAAAAAGCCAAATAGAA